AGAACTCCTGGGCCCCTGTGACCGGCTCTGTTGCTATGATGTTGCCAGGGGCTCCGCCATTGCCAGTGGCTCCGCCCACTTCGGCACTGTAGCAGCTTGGTCCAGGCAGGGGTTGTCTTAACATCTGCGTTGGCTCTCAGGGACCTCCAGCACCCCTTGGCTTGGAGTGACCTCGTTTGTGATATTGGAACGCCGCATTTGTAACACTCCCTCTCGCTGAGCGGTACAAAAACTCCCGCACCTCCTCCTTTCCATCCTAAGGCCTGGTTCCCTTGGCTACCTCCTGGGGGATATCCCGTGTAACTTTCTTTGACGTAACCCCCTAGGTGACCCCGGGTGCTCTGGCACCGTCTTTTTGTATCCTGCTACCCGCGTTCCCCGGTAGCCTTTGGCACCTTTGTACTATCCTCTTCCACTTCCTACGGCGGCTTCCTTAGTGGCGCAGTCTTTGGCAATGTGCCCACATCCTCGGCAGTTGTCACACGGGGCCCTTTACCTTTGCCTTTTCCGTTGGCCACCTCATTCGATTCGCCATTTCCGCTCGCGTCTTCCCCGTTCTAAGTCCGCAAAGTTCCGCCTTCGCCGGAATCGTTTGCGACTATGCCCCGCTCACCAATACGTTCACCGTGAAATTGGCCAGTCTCCATGGAAGCGTTGTCCTCCGTATCAATGTTCACTCGTCTTTCTTGCCCAATCTCCGTATTTGATGGAGAGATTGCAGCATGTGTCCAGGTTTAGCGACTATGGCGTCTGGAAGCAATCTTGTTGCCAGCCGTCGAACCATTCGCCAGCGTGAGTCATGGTAACCCTCAACGCGGCAATCCTGACTGATCACTGAAACTAGGTAACGGTAACGACCGAATACAACTTGTAAACCTTCTGGTATACACATTAGCCGCCCCCCCTCATGTAGACCTTCAAGCTTTCCGCGCGGCCACGCGCCCTCTCCGTTCAACGATTACAACAGGTCCTCGCCAAGCTCGGCGTAGTCACCTTCGCCTTACACAGACTGTTGCTGTTGGATAGTATTCTTGTTTCTTCGTCACCGACGCCTTGGTGTATTCACTCAGCGTGAACCTTTTCGTTCATGATTTGATATGGTCATCCTCCGCATCATCGAGTAACGCGCAACACATGATCTCGAGCTTGTTGTTCATTCTTAAGGGTTTTCTGATAACCGTGCATCACTTGGGCGAACGCGTTCAGCAGTTGCTCGCTCCATTCTCTAAACTTGGTTCTGTCGCCTGAGAACACTTTTAACTGCTGAACAACCTTGCATTCGATCACGGGTTTGTTTCCGAATCATCCTGCCCTCGCATGTCTTGCCGACTTCCATGTCTCGACGAAACTGGTAACATGTTCCGAGCCGTCCGCCTGATGTTGGATTTTTTCCGCGCGTATTCCTTCAGGTTGTTGGCCTGTCCTTCGCAGCATATGTTGCGGCTGATGACTGAATGAGGAGAGCCTTCATGTTGCAGCTCATCTGTAACTTCGTGATGCTTCATCATTGCCAACAGTATTGGTGCCCTGTGTGGTATTGCGCTCAACAATCATCTGCATACACACGCGGCTGGCTTTGAGAGTCGTGCTAACGTCCTGAAGCCCCCGTTCTCGCACCCGGCATTGCGCAGTTCTGCGAACCACTTTGTGCCTAGGTTGTACCAGGCTTCGCATAGTTCGGGTGACGATACGCTGTAACCGGGGTCGTTTCTGCCGGCGTCAACTGGGGTCGCCGCAACAGCCGCCGCTGCCACTTTTGCTCTAGAACCCGTGGGGCGAACCACAGGCTCCGCTACAATGGAAATCTAGCAGGAGCCTATCTCCGAGAAGGCAACAAAATGCTTGAGCTAAACAATTGCAAAAAATGCAACCAGGGGGCGATAAACAATGTGACCCCCTCTAGGCGTGAGACAGCTGCTATAAAATTATCCCAGCGCGACCCGACCTAGGAGTTGGAGCCTCTAGGAAAGCAACATGAGCAGGAGCGGTAAACGCGGTCCTCCTCCTTCTCCTCATCGTCGTAGTTGTAGCAGTAGCGTAGTAGTAGTAGTAGTAGTAGTAGTAGTAGTAGTAGTAGTAGTAGTAGTAGTAGTAGTAGTAGTAGTAGTAGTAGTAGTAGTAGTAGTAGTAGTAGTAGTAGTAGTAGTAGTAGTAGTAGTAGTAGTAGTAGTAGTAGTAGTAGTAGAAGTAGTAGTACTAGTAGTAATAGTAGTAGTAGTAGTAGTAGTAGAAGAAGTAGTAGTAGTAAAAGTAGTAGTAGCGCCAGAACCGCCGACGCCACGCCGTGAGTGAAGCGGCAGCAAAAGCAGGCAGCAAGTCGCCGAGACAGCAGCAAAAAGCAAGCAGGCACGGAGATGAGGGCGGGGCACTGGGGAGTTCTTTACATCTACATATATATACACCTACATCTACATCGACACTTACATCTACATCTACATCTACACCTACAGATACATCTACATCTGAATCTACTTATACATCTACATCAACAGTCTGACAGTGAGACACACATCTACATATACATATACACCTACATCTACACCTACATCCACATCAACATACACACCTACATCCACATCTACACCTACACCTACATCTACATCTACATCTACATCTACATTTTCGCATTGGTGTTGCTTTTGCTTTGCATTGCCTTTGCTTTTGCTCTTGCCTTTGCTTTTGCCTTTGCCTTTGCCTTTGCTGTTGCTTTTGTTTTGGCTTTTGCTGTTGCTTTTGGTTTGCTGTTGTTCTTGCTTTTGCTTGGTTGTTGCTTTTGCTTTGCCTGCGCGCAGACACACACACACACGCATGTTTCTGCATTCGCTCACCGGGTGTGCTTGAGAATGCTCCAGATCCGGCCTACACCGCACGACTTGGCATTGAGCAAGGTTATGCAACACTTGCTACACCGAACGTTCCTACGAAACTGTACAGCCGCAGCACAGACACGGACACACACACACACACATGCAGCATTCTACATGGGTGTTATGTATATATATACACACATATACTTGCATATATACATATATAGAAAAAACATTTAGGACATGCGATAATACGTCGGGTTTCATGTCTCCCGGCCGGTGCTATGTGCGAAACCTTCGTGAATCCTAAGGGCGCAAGCTGCCCCACTAAGGGCTCAAGATGGCCCACAGACGGACAACATGCATGGAACATACGTGCGCACACACACACACATATATATATATATATATATATATATAAGTACATACATACGTATAGCAGCAGCAATAGTGGATGTTGTGCTGCGCTATGCTATGCTATGCTATGCTATGCTATGCTCTGTTCTGCTATGCTATGCTATGCTATGGTATGCTATGCTATGCTATGCTATGCTATGCTGCGCAATGCTATGCTGGGCTAGGCTAGGCTAGGCTATGCTATGCTATGCTGCGCTATGCTATGCTGCGCTATGCTATGCTACGCTATGCTATGCTATGCTATGCTTTTGCTTTGCCTTCGCTTTTGCCTTCACTGTTGCCTTTGCTTTTGCTTTTGCTTGGCACCCAGGGAGCGCAACTGGGGGAACCGCGCGTTTGCTTTTACCTTTGCTGTTGTTTTTGCTTGGCTCCCAGGGGACTGGGGCAACCGCCCGGGGCGGTTTGCACTGCCCGGCCCCTTTAAGCCAAGCGAGTAAGAACCCTTCTAGGCAGAGCCTAGGTAGGGAATGATACAGTCACACTGGTCCCACTGCCCACACAGTCGAAACGCTATCAGCTAACACCTCCTTATCCCCCTCATCTTTTTTCTCGTCATTCTCCTCCTCCACCTCCTAGTCCTCCTCCTCTTCCTCATCCTCCTCCTAGTCCTCCTCCTCCTCATCGTCCTCCTCTTCCGAGTCTCCTCGCAAGGAGCCTGTTGCGTTTACTACACACGTGTGATCCGACCAACAAACCTCGCCGTCCTCCGAATCATCATCATCATCATCATCATCATCATCATCATCATCATCATCATCATCATCATCATCATCATCATCATCATCATCATCATCATCATCATCATCATCATCATCATCATCATCATCACCCTTTTCATCCTCTTCCTCCTCCTCCTCCTCCTCCTCCTCCTCCTCCTCCTCCTCTTCCTCCTCCTCTTCCTCCTCATCCTCCTCTTCCTCCTCCTCCTCCCCCTCCTCCGTCATCCAAGTCTCCTCGCAAGGAGCCTGTTGCGCTTACTACACGCGTGTGATCCGACCGATCAACCTCGCCGTCCTCCGAATCATCATCATCATCATCATCATCATCATCATCATCATCATCATCATCATCAGCATCATCATCAGCATCATCATCATCATATCATACAGCAGCATCATCATCAGCAATCCTCATCATCATCAGCAGCAGCATCAGCATCAGCATCATCAGCATCGTCATCATCATCATCATCATCATCATCATCATCATCATCATCATCATCATCATCATCATCATCATCATCATCATCATCATCATCATCCTCCTCCTCCCCTCTTCTCCTCCTCCCTCCTCTCCTCCTCCTCCTCCTCCTCCTCCTCCTCCTCCTCCTCCTCCTCCTCCTCCTCCTCCTCCTCCTCCTCCTCCTCCTCCTCCTCCTCCTCCTCCTCTCTGCTGTTCTTCCTCCTCATCCTCCTCCTCCTCCTCGCTTTGCTGCTCCTCCCCCTCATCCTGCTCCTCCTCATCATTCCTCCTAATCCTCCCTCCCTGCCGTCCTCCACCCGCTCCCACGCGGCGCGTCAGGATGGCAGCGGCCGGCGAGAAGTCGCAACTCGCGTGCCTGCGCGCGGCGGCGGCAGTGGCCGACCAGCTCGCGAAAGGACCGCGACGGTGCGCCGGACGAGCGCCCGGCGACGGCCGCAGGCGCGGGCGACTCGGCCTCGAACCTCCTCCGTGTCCTCCTCATCCTGCTCCTCCTCCTCTTCTTCCTCCGTCTCATCCTCCTCCGCCCCATGCTGCTTCGTATCCTCCCCCGCCTGCCCCCCCCCCCCTTCACGCGTCCGCAGAGGCGCAGAAGCCCTCTTGGCAGAGGCACTTGCCCATGAAGCACTCGGTGGAGCCGCGGTAGGCCTCCCCCGCCCTCGAGGAGAAGGGGGGGCGCCCACTGCAGGAGCCGAGAGCGGTCAGGAGCGTTTTTCCTCGGCGTGTCGCGGCGGCGGCCCCGGCGACGCGCTGTGCCCGAGGAGCCGGTGGCGAGCCGCTCGGCGCGTCGCTCGGTTCCGCGGGGCGGGAGGCTGGGCAAGGCTCGGGCCGTGGACGCGTGGACACGGGGACGGGGACGCCGCGTCGCGCCCAAGCGCAGGTGGGCCAGACCTGGCGGCGCGCCGCGCGGAGCAGGAATGCCCGACCAGCGTGCTGTGCGCGAGGATGCGGCTCGGACACCTGCCCGGGCGATCCACGCAGCGCCGGCCAGTCGATCGCGGGAGGACGCCGCTGGGAGAGAAAGGATGTTGCCCCCTGCTCGTTGGCTCTCCTGATGCGCACGCACGGTGCACTCCTCAATCGCCGCTGCCGCTATCCTCCTCACCACCCAGCTTCACTCCGCCGGCGAAGGCCCTGGGACAGTGCTGGGCAGACCGAGACAGGTACCCATCAGTGGGCGAGGGCCCCAAGCGCGGCCCAGGGAATCCTGCCAGCAGCACGCGAAATCGCCACAGCTGAAGCCGCCCTGTCCCCCCAGCAAGGCCGCAGGAGGCCCTCGATGAGGAAGCAAAACCTTATACGAAGTCTAGCGAGGTTCTCACGGCCCTTCTTCGAAGGGGCCGCCTCGCCTCTAGACGCGCACTCCCCTGCGAGCCTCCTGCCGTCGACGGTGGCAGCGAAGCCGAAAGAGGAACAAAACTTGACACCGAACTCCTTCATCACGTGCAGCCTATGAATGGAGTGGAGCTTCACTCCGCCGACCCATGGGCCACCAAGCAGCGACTCGAACAGGGAACCATCCTCGAACCGAGCGGGACCAGGGTCGGCAGGCCCAGCCTCGGCGACGAGGGCACAGGAGCAACCCTGGGCCACCACGGCCAGGAGCTGAGAACGAGGAACAGTCTGCTTGCACAACTCATGTGCCTACGAAGGGCTCGAGAAGGCACGCGCTCATCCTCAAGGCAAGCTCGAGCTGACTGGGCGGGGGAACACGCTGCCTAGACGGCCGGGCACCGACCCACGGCTCGGCACCCAGGGAACGGAGGAGGGCACGCCTAGCCCTCCGACGGACCATGGCCTAAACAGCATCGTAGAACTCCGCGCGCGGGGGGGGTGGCGACATCGCAACCCCAGGGCCGCGCAGCCTCCCTTCCCCGCCCACAGATCCGCACGGGCATTACCTCGAGCTAAGAACGCATCTCAAGAGAGTCCGAAATCGCTCCAGGTCCTGATCAAGGTGGGACACCGCCCACAGCGCTTGCACCTCGGCAGAACCACGGGAGCGCAGGGCCAGCCCAATCCTGCCCACAGGTCCCCAGTTACGACCACGCGGGTGGCAAAGAGTCCAATCGGACACGAGAGACCCAGTCGGCGGCACACACACACACACACACACACACAAACGGGACCCTGGTCAGCTCCAGGGCCAGACAAAACGCGAGCAGCTCGGCCCTAGGCACCGTTTGCCGTCGGACCGCGAGGGTCACGGCAGCACCACAAAAAGGCCTCCACAGCAGACTCGAGCCAGGCTCCTGAACCCTTAAAACCACCGAAGCTCCGCAGCGTCTCCGTCTCGGGCCCGAGCTAAACTCACCACCCGAGCCGCCTCCGAAAACGTGAAGCGGTCGACCTCGACGTGTCGATCTCGGGTCCGGGAGCCTGACTTCCCCCGGAAGGATCTCACGGCCGAACTCAAGGTTCTCACAAAACGCAAGGACCGCGAGCTCCTTCCGAGAGACCCCCCTCAGCCACAGCGCGGGCTCAGCCTCGTGGGCAGACACGGCCTGCGGGAGGAGAGAACTAGTAGATGTGAAATCTTCGTGCCCGAAGTTCGCGGGACACGTCCAAACACAATGAAACAAGCTCTCGGGGCCTGAGTTGCATCTCGTGCAGACCTCAGGGCAGCCATAGCCAGCCTCACGTTGACGAGCTTTCGGCCATTGACCTCCAGCAAGCACGATGAGATTGGCTGACCACAAACCCTGATATCCTTTCTTAGCCAGGTAATCCAACTTACGTGACGCCATCGCCATATCAGCTCCTGCGAACAAGTATTCGCCCGCATGGTGCCTCGCGACAGGCTGCCAAAGCTTTGTCATACAATCCCCCATGAAATTACCAAACAACTTACCGTAGTTGGCCATCACTGCCACGTCGAACCCGGGGTCGCCGAAAGCAGGGAGAGACCACTCCGCTGGGCCTTCTAGTCCATGGCGCATCCAGACGTCACGTTCATGAAGCTCCCAGCCTGCCTGGATCATGGTCGCTTGCACCGCAGCATTAGGGCCCCGCACATCGGACCACTTCACCCACTGGAATATTAGCAAACTGAGGAAGCCGAGCACGAAGTTGACTCCACGCCCTACGCATACGAGGTTGAAGCCCAGGTTGTCGTAGCCAGAACACTATCCACTCTCTTGGTACCTGAACACGTAGGTCGACTCCAGGATCAGCCACACCCATCGCGGCCTGCAAAGCTGAGGTCAAGCACTTCCCCCGCTTGGAGACAGCGAGCGCCGCGGCGGCAAGTCTACGTGTAGCTCCAGCACCTGCGAGAGAGGGGCACCGAGGATCTGGCGCCCGAAATTGGCCGAGGGGCATACACCAGTAGTCCAAAGCTTCCGTAATGAAACGACTGCCAGGCTTCATCCCGATGCGCAGAATGCTGCCATGCCGACGCCTAGATCGAGCACGACGCCTGGACATCTTGGCGCGGGCCCTCCTTCTGCACCCAGGTGCATCTGCGCCAAGGTCGACGGTAGACGAGACAAAGTCGACAGGGTCGACAGGGACGCCAACCTCCTTCAGCTTCGTCTCCAGCTACCGGCCGATGAACTCGTGGATGCCGCAAGCGTCGTCTCACCAGCGATCTCCAGCCTGGCAGCCCTAAAACCACACGCCATCGCCGAAGCCAGGAGCAACATATCTTCCACGACCCTCTGCCGATTTCCTTCCGCACGACCGCTGGCGTCGCCAATGTAGGCCCAAAGCCCAGCAGGAGAAACAGCGCGGTGAGCGCGGTCAAAGGTACGATGAAACATGACTTTGGCCAACGATACATCGCCGGAGGAGAACGCAACAATCGACCTGGAGACGACCAAGCCGTGAGACACCAGATTGCCACGCGTCAGCATGCGTGGGGCCGCGCACAGCTCCACTTCGAGCAACGCAATGATCCCTGGAAAGCCACAGTCCAAAGCAGCCCGCATGAGAAGCACGAAGCTCACCGGATCGTACAATTTCTTCCGATAAAGAAACAGAATGGCGAAATCAAACCCCCTAGCCAATGAACTATCATCGAGAACTGATCGCACCAGCGCCGCTCGGAAGGCCGATGAGCCCGCGACGGCTGCGTCCCAGAAAGCATCCAACTTCTGCGACCACTCGCTCGAGTCCTCAGCCCTCAACGTGCTCCAGATCTTAGGCGTCGTGCCCAATAGCGCCAGCACACGGTCACCACCCGACTCCTTAGGTATGGAAGCGCCCAGGGTGGCAAGGAGAGCTGTGGGCCACGTGCAAATGTATTCAATGAAAGTCATCAGCTTGACTAGCTCCGCCCTTCCTGCCGTCGCCTGTCTCTGGACGTCCTGAGGGCCCAGGTTGTCAAATCCTCGGGCCGTACTGGACGCCAACTTGGGGAGCAGAGCATCGAAATCCGACAACTGAGGGGGGGGCAGGGGGTTGCCACGAGCAACTTGCCAGCACCTATTCATCATATGCTTGATATCCGTTGGCTTATCTACAGGGTCCGCCCATCTGGCCTACAACTCGAGTCCGCGAGCATCGATCAACAGCTGCGGGTTGGAGATGGCGAGGCCCTCTGGGTCACGGTCTCCGTCCTCAACATGAGCCGCATCCGTCAAATGACGATGAACCAACCCAGGAGATGTTAATCATGATTCATTGACCCAGTTCATGAAGGACGAACAGGCCTTCATCATCGTCCAAGCTGCTGCCAGGTCAGCCTATTGACGTGTTTGGTCCAGAAGCCCAGGTAAATCGGCAACAGGACCAGAGCTAGATTAGACAGCATGCCCATCCACGAGAAAATCTGCTCATGCGTGATCCCCTTACCAAAATTGTATGGAAAATCAGCGTCAGAAATGTCCTCCATTCTCTTAGCCAACTCGTCACGGCAACAGTCAGCTTGAAAAGCATATGAAGCGTTGGTGACTAGGGCGACGTACCTGACAAACAACGTGCTGACGATGCCTCACCACTCCGCATGAGGGTTGCGTAGGTGAGTGCGCCCAGGGGTTAGATCTCACCTTGGCCCACGAGACCAGTGGGCCATCAGCACGACCAGAGCACTCAGGCCATCGCTCCTCAGGGATGCCTTCGTGCAGGAGGGATGGCTCTCGCCAATACCTTGGTCCAGACACGGTAATCACGATCAGCCTACGCACGGTCTGCCGATATCCCCACGGACGCACGACCAGATCTCTGCTGGCAAGCGGGGTGGTGCCACGCGGACGCCAGCACGAGGGATGGCCCTTCGCCTCCAAGCCCACGCCAGGCGAAGACATTCCGAGCGCCCCGCCTGCAACCCCCACGCGGTGGCCTCCGCCCGCTGACGCTGCGCTCTAGGCTTCGGCACATGAAGGGCCGCAGGCTTGGTGATCAGCCCTGTGAAGATCCAGCAGCTGGGGTGTGGTCGGCTCCAGGCGAGGAAACGATCCCAGGATCTTGATCCAAGCACTCAAATGTGTCTTCCTCCGTATGCATGCAGCAAAGACGTGGCGGCTGTGTGCCTGAGGTGATCCCCAAAGCTGGGGCTTCCTCAGGCCTTCCAGCTCCACGTGGCGACGGTGAGCCTAAGGTGTTCCCCGCCACGGAGGCTTCCTCGAGACTTAGCGCTCTAACGCCAATGAGGTTGGACGTGCCAGCACACCTGGTATCTTGAGCGAAATCAGCAGGGCCGCGCGCGACACAAGTTCCATCGCCTCCGACGACAGGGGCCGCGCTACCTCAACCCAACAGGCGAGGCGGAGGAGGGGACACGAGGGGGGCGATAACGATGAGGAAGGACTCGGATCCAGAAAAGTGGCCCGCGCTGGGGCGGGAGCGCCACTCTGAACGACGTGAGCAAAGCGCCGATCCGAAAATGAGGATAACACTGCAGCGGAAGCGCCATTTGGAGACACCGAAAACGCTCCGAGTGCGAAGAAAACATAGGAGCAAAACAAACACGCTTGAAATCATGTGTACAAACACTACGCAGAGAGAACCGGCTATCTTCTGGAAGGAGTCAGGGGAGAGAGGAGAGTAGCACTCAGAATGAGTAACGGTTGAGGAGGCGGGGGAGGGGGAGGAAAAGAAGAGGGGGAAGAAGAGGGGGCGGTGCAGACGAAGGGAGGAGACGGACAAAAAGGAAAAGGAAGAAGAGAGGAAGAGCTGGATCTTTGGTGCGCGGCGTTAGTTTTGAAGGTCGTCCGTGTTGTCGCCCCCGTTCGGTCCGTCTTGTGCCGTACCGTGATCGTCTGTGGTGGATGGCGGCGTCCGGTAATCCAGGAGGTTGTTCAGCTGGCAGATCAGTATCCATGCAATGCATTGATGGATGACGATAGACCTGAGGGGCGTCGGGGTGCTCGCCATGTCGTAGATGGAGCCTGCTTTCAACTGGTTCAATATCCGGTCGAAGGCGTGCTGCGCAGTTCTGGTTACGGTCGCTGGCGCGGGCGCGTATCTGCTGGAAGTCGGTTGGATCGCGGGCGCCGTCCTGGATGATGCGGTGCGCGCCAACACACTGCGCGGACCACGGGCTCGACCCTCGCTACGCCCTCCTCGCTGCCGACGTCAACGCGGGCGACGAGGACGAGGGAAAGCTCTGCCCCCGCTATGACTACCTTGGCGGAACGAAAAGCGGAATAAACATAAGAACTCGGAGGTCCGCGCGGATTTCTCGGATCCGCGCTGGACCCCCCTCCCTGGCCCGCGGAGCGCGCCAGGGGCGGCGCCGGAAGCGCCGCCAGGGGGCCCCAGCGCCGATCCGAGAAATCCGCGCGGACCTCCGAGTTGTGATGTTTATGTCGTTGTTCGTTCCCCTATATCCGGTCGGCACCACCGAGGCGGAAGCACAACCAACCCTGCACCAGCACGAGGCGCGTGCGCCACCGACCTCTGCACCAAGGCAGAACTGCCAGCGGGGCAGTCTGGCCCCACGGCAAGAGGAGCAACGACGGCTGTTAGCACCCCGCCACCAAAGGGACGTCGTCAACTCCGATCCCCTCCACTGAGTGAACGGAGGGGAAGGGCCGAAGTGCCTAACTGTCCGACGGGGATCCGCAGGTGGAGGACGAGGTGCCTGCGATAGAAGGGCTTTTCCTGCCCCCAGTCTAGACAGAAGTGTCTGTCCACGGATGTCCAATACCTTAGAGCCCACAGGGTAGCGGCAAGGAAAAGCAAGAAGGAGAGAGAGAGAGAGGGGGTTAACACACACACACACACACACAAATAAAAACAACAAAAAACAAAACAGACAAAAAGAAGAACAACTATGCAGAGGAGCAGGCCCGTGGCACTGGCCTGCCTCCTCGCCACTGCCACAGCAGGGAGGCGAACACCACCCTCCCGAGCCTTCGACCAGACCTTCCCACGGGGAGGCCTGTCCTCCGCGTCACGCCACGACTCTCGTCCATGTCTGCTCCAGCCACGACGGGCGCCATAGCGTCGCGCTGCCCCCGCGCCTTACACCCCAATATCTGCACTGTTCTTGCTCCAACTTACCGCGCTCACCGTCACCTGACAGCAGCAGCAGCGGGCCACGACCCAGACTGCAGGCAGCCAGCGGCCATCAACACCTGCCCACGACGTCTGCCTGGCAGCGAGCACTGACCAGTACGACATAGTGTACCCTCTCCTATTATACCTCTCTACGGCCACGTTCTCCATGTGGGCCCGCGGTGACCTGACTTTCTCCAATAGGCATACGGTTAGACAGGGCTCCGAAACCCGCCGTAGCCAGGGAAAGCTACACATTCGACGTGTCACATCCGACGTAGCTGTTTAAAACCGTGGCAGCGTCAATCGTGGGTCTGCGTTTGAGACACAAGTCCAAAACCCGTCGCAGCTTTCTCAACCACCTTCACCAAAGGACCACGGATAGACAGGGCTCCGAAATCCGCCGCGGCCGGCGAAAGGCCAACAGATGGCCACGTTGATGCTACTGTTCGTCAACCGACGTGCCGCACCCGACGTATCTTCTAGGAGCCTGTGCCAGCGTCAACTGTGGGTCTGCGGTCCGACAGGGCTCCCAAAGCCCGCCGCAGCTTTCCCGCCCACACTCGCCTGAGGACCACAGTTCTCAAGGGGCCCAAGGACACACAAAGAAATACACACTAATCTCTGGATTCCCCATAATGGTTTCCGTATTTTCCGGGTTTTCGTCTTCCCCCCCACTTCCCAGATTTCCCATATTTCCCTGGGAGTCGACGATGAATTGTGTATGAGTGTTGTTTCCCCTCCTGAAGTTCGACAGGGCCTCAAAACCCGCCGTGGTCGGCGAAGGGCAGAGGCGCCGCACAGGCGCGTCTCTTCTTCCGTTTGACACCCCAGTGGCGCCACGGCCACTTCCCTGCTCGCTGCCAACGCTCAGCCCAATGCCCATGGGAAGGACAGGTTGGGGGGGGGTACAACGGGCGGGGATGGGAGGGAACTGTAGCTGACGGCAGTGGCCTCACCACAGCCCTGCCCTGCCTGCCCTTTCACACTCCTTCTCAAGCCACCCTCCCTTTGAACCCAGCTCCGCCTGCTGCCATCTGCCACTTTGCGGCTGCCACTTGTACGTCGGGAGAGAGGCAGGCTGGGAGCGAGGGGTGACGCAACCAGCGACCGCCGCCACGGGGTGGCTGGCACAAACCCCCCCTCCCCCAGTTGGCATGCCTGAGCGGCATTCAGTCTCGCCCATGGGTTGAGTAGGGCTGGGGGGTCAGGTCTGCAGAACACCCCAAACGGACGTCAAGAGGCGCAACCAACCTGTTCGGTCGAGCTGAGATTGATGCACCACACCCGGCGTCAAGCCAAAACTTTGGACACAAGCGATTGATTAGATTATGCACACCTTCATCGGCTTAACCCGCGAGGCGTTTGACCACTTTGACGCCGTTTTTCGGGTGGTTCTGCAGAGGAGGGAAGTCTCTGACCCTCGGCCCTACTCAACCCATGAGCACCCTTCGCCCGCCTCGGCGGGTGAGGGTCCCCTGGGTGGAACTGGAGACCGTCTCCCTGGGATGCCTCACGGGAGGAGGGGAGAAGCCCCTGCGCCGTCCCTCGCTCGGCGAGTGCGGCCGCGGCCGCTCTTGCGCCCACAGCTCGCACTGTCAGCTCGCACCCCTGTCTTCACTGTGCTTGGCCGATGCTCGCCCATGCCTCCCACATTCAGCTTTGGCCACTCAGCCAGCGCACATTCGCAACGCTGCCGCGCCACAGGAGCTCTGCCACGTAGTCCCTGATGTCACCCCGTCTTCTAGTTACTACGAGCTCCTCCTTTCTCCTCTGGCACACCCCCCGAGGCACTGGAGGACATAGCTGCCTCGCCCCGAGGGGGGGTTCTCCGCCCGCCGTGTCCCGTCTTGACATATACAAATAACTCAGTTGGATCCCCCCCGCAGCGACCGCTGCTAGGGGGGACTGCTGCGTTCGAGTCGAACTCCGAAGCCGACAGCGACAGCGACAGGAGGAGGAGGAGGAGGCAGGAGGCGGAGGAGGGCAGAGGAGAGGATGGAAAAGGAAAGAGCAGGATGAAGGGGAGGAGGGAGGAGGAGAGGGGGGGAAGAGGAGGAACCGTGCAAACCTAAGACCCATCAACGATGTTGCAATGAACCCTCCCTCCAAGTTCCCTCTACATAGGTCCCTGCAAAGACTTGTTTGCACTGGGGGAAATGGCCCGTTGGAAGACAACCGTCTGAAATTCCCAAACCGTGCCAAAATACAGGTCCTGGGAGTTCAACGCCGCGAATCACCATTACTATTGCGTCATGACGATCCTGAAATGCGCCCAGATACAATTCCTGGGACTTCAACACCGCGAATCAACGTGACTGTTGCGCCCTGACACTCCTAGATCGTGCAAAAACACAACTTCGGGGACGTCAACAATAAGATTCCCTGAAACTGTTGTAAACTCTTACGGCAAAAGACACGGCGTTAAGGCGAATGCCACATTTCAAAAGGAACCACCCTCCATCCGTGAAACCCATGCAAACAGTTAAAACAAGAGCAACATTGCAAAAACTGTATTGCATGCGTGACACTCGGGCAAAATTTCAAAACGAATATGCGCGGCGCAAACACGAGAGCCACATTTTGAAAACCACCCACTCTCAATCCGCCAAACGCGTGGAAACTCTAAGGACGAATGCGCGCGGCGCTAAGGCGAGAGCCACATTGTGAAAACGGCCCGCCCACCATGCGTGACACCCTGGCAAGCTTTGAAAACTCATGTGCACGGCGCTAAAGCAAGAGCTACATTTTGAAAACGGCTCGCACCCAGCATCCGTGAAAATCTTGCATGTTCTAAGACGAAAAATCGCGGCGCTTGAACGAGAACCACAGGTTGAAAAGGAAGCGCCCTCCACCCGTGAACGTTTTGCAAACTTTGAGGGCGAATGTGCGCGGCGCAAACGCAGAGCCACATGTTGAAAACGGGCGAAACGCCAGGCCCGCTCTACTGACACGTCCCGGGTTGAAGCAGAAGAGAGTTACGTATCTATAAGGAAAAAGGACGGTGGAGGCGCAGGGCGCTTGCTATCCCCTGCAACGCGGACCGCGCATCCCGGAAAGGTGTGGGTCACGAGCGACGCTGCGCAGGAGCCAACGGGGCTGTAGTCGCACTTGACGCCGCAC